GTATATGCTCATTTCGTATCCTATTTCTAAGGGTAAAGCCACTCATCCACCTGAGCATCCTCATCTTTGTCACACTTAACTTAGTATTATGCTTCTCTTTTAATGGCCAACATTCGGCACCATAAAACATTGCAGGCCTCATCACCATCTTATAGAATTTTCCCTTAAGTTTGAGGGGTACTTTTTTATCACACAAAAAGCCCGATGCATTCCTCCACTTCAACCATCCAATTTGAATTCTGCTGATAATATCCCCATCTATTTCACCATCACTCTGAACAATAGATCCAAGATATCTAAAACGTGTACTCTTATTAATGACTTGATCACCCAAAGTCACAATACCCTCACTAGGTCTATTACTACTAAAATTACACTCCATATATTCCGTTTTAGATCTACTCAAAAACCTTTAGTCTCTAATGTTGACCTCCATAATTCAAGTTTACTTTCAACTCCCTCTCTAGTCTTATCAACAAGAAGAATATCATCAGCAAAAAGCATACACCAAGGTACATCCTCTTGCAAATGTCTAGCGAGAACATCCATGACTACAGCAAAAAGATATGGGCTTAAGGCTGATCCTTGATGTAACCCAACCGAAATAGGGAAATACTTTTCAAAAATACCCGAAACAATAAAAAACCACTTGGGGATCAAATTTTAATAAAAAATTACAAAATTTAATATACATCAAAATACAAAATATTCAAGTGATATTATCTGAAACTTAAAAAAAATCCATCTACCATTCGCAATCGTTTGGAAAAGGTGATGAAATAAAAAATAACCTCAGCTAACTAAGAGTGAATATATAGCCGGAAATATCACTGATATTCATTCTTAAATAATTTTCAGCAAGTAAGAATGTGACACGTCTTTTCTAACTAGTGATTTGCCTGTAAAGTGGCTCCACAAGCAAATGGTTATGACTAGGGTTCTTTGACAAGGTGATTTTGCCGCATATATGCATTATTATATTTATGATCATAACCAGAACTCGATGTTCCTCAATGGCTAAAACACTTGAGTAATGAATCATATGGTACATTTGATAGGGCACATACTCTTTATTCGCTAAGGTTGACTTGAATTTTTTTTAGACAAATACTCATGCCATGTCTATAACGTACCTTTGGATAAAGCAAACAATGATTGCCGAAAAGGATCAAAATGATCCATCAACTCTTTAGGAGGGACCAAAATGATCTTCAACTATTTTGAGGGACCATTTTGGTCCCTCAACTTTTTAAAATGGGATTATTTTGGTCCCAGCATCCAAACTAATGGATGTTGGACTTAATATCGTTAAAATTAAGGGTATTTTGGTAATTTTTTAATTAATTTATTTATTAGATATATTTTTAAGTAATTAAAATTTTGAAAAAAATTTATTTGAGAAAGGTAATGCTGGGATCGACACTCGAATTTGCCATTGTGATTTGATTACGTTACGAGATTGAGTATGGGACATGATTGGGCCGTGGGATAGATGCTCGGGATCAACATTCAGATTCGCTAGCTATTTGGGAATGATGGCATGATCAAATCGGATTTGTCTGCGTTGTGCTGAGGGATGGACGTTGGGGGTCAAGTGGCTTGAAGGCTGGAAGGCAAATTTGAGCATGGGGTCGAAGGTGCGAGAAAAAGCTGAAAGGCGAATTCAAGTGTGGGGTCAAAAGTGCTGAAGGGTCAAATGTGTTGGATGGTTTCGATGCAAGCTTTATTTCACTTTTTTTTCCAGGTGAAAACCCCTTGTAGTGGAGAGCAAGTATTTTTTTATAAAGGTTCTAGGACCACTTTCTCTCCAATCTTTGCAGCAAGTTGGATCTCCATGATATATATGATCTAATTTGAGAGAAAATATTAGAGCATTACTAAATTAGAGAGTTAGTAATTAGCATATTTTTTTCTTTATTATATAATGAGAATATTTTGACGATTCTTTTCTTCCTAGTCTACCTATTATACTTACTTGTATGTCAGCCAAGTTTTACAGTGAAATCAACCAATTTGTATTCAATTGTTCAACTAAGAGAAATAGAAGAGTCCCCAACAATAGAACAAAAAAAATGGAAATGAAATTTGTTATGAATGGAATTACATTTAGAACGCATTTTAATCTTTTAGAAGCCAACCACGGCTCTTTTAAAAGCATGAACCCCTATATCTTTCTTACATAATATTAGCTAATACAGGGGACAAAGTTGGTAGCTCACTTGCCAAGCTATATCTAGCTACTTCATTTCTAACAAGAGGCTCCTAGGATGAAGCTAACTGCTCATCCAGATACGCGTAAAGGAGTCAAACATTCTTAATTTCAGATTGTACTATTTGTTCTAATAAAAGGCCTAATCAAAAGTAAATAGGTAATAGCTTCAGTTATTTCAGAAATGTCACACAATATCCAAAAATATTGAAATTATTATAATAATTAGTAGTACCTATTACTGCAGAAGTGTTGACAGTATTAGCGCTTGTAGTTTTGGCAACAACAGCTTGATCACACACCTCGTACAGAAAGGGGAAAACCTCACTGAAACACTCTGGATCATCAAAAGCTTTAATAATCTGCATGCTCAAGCAAAAGGGTAACTTTTAAAAAATTGGGCACTGTGAATAAGTTCTGTAAGGACACCATGGACAAATATAGATGATGAAGCAAAATTTTGCACGAAGTGAGCAATTGCAAAGCTTGTGAAAATAATACAATGAAATGTGACATGAATTTAAAAATCCTAATTCCATTGTCATCGGATAATATAACCTACAATAACCATAAATAACAACAGAGTGAATTTGTCTATCCAAAAAATAAAAAGAAATGCCACACAAAAAATACTACAGTACATACCATAATGAATTTTTAAGAAATTAAATTAGTCCCGTACAGGTTACTTTTCACAAAAGGTCATAAAAGGATGGCAACGATTACCTTCTGAAGACACACAAAGGCTGCTTCACGATAAGATCTTTCTTTTTTGGAGCATGAGGATAGTATAGAGCTTAGAATAACCCCCGGGGCAACTGGGTCATCAGCAGCAATAGCAATACTGCAGGATGAGCAGAGTGAAGCTAGAGCATGCAAAATAACATCCTTTCCCTACAAAGAGAAAATGGAAGGTAGAAATAATAATTAATATTTTAATATATTATCCTTTAAATTATTCAAAAGCAAACTACAGAGTAATACGTCATAATAATTTAAAGATATTAAAGAACAAAATGTTCTATGACATCAGGAGCACTTCCTGATTGCGGAAACAGTAAGTAAATAACATATGAAAAAATTAAATAACTGTAAAATGCACCAAAGCAAATGTGCCTGAAGAATGAATCAATAAACCCAAACAAACAATATTATCCTTGTTTTCCTATGCCTAATCCTATAGGGGTGGTGGTGGAATTTTGATATCCACAACAGATTGAAATATTTTGTGATCAAGTATGACATAGAAAATAATATATTATTCAAAATAATAAAAATATTATTTCTCTATAGACTCAATAACAAAAATCACATTTTTTTTATTACCAAAGATTTTCCCCTAGTCAAGACAACCTATAGTTTTCATAATAAGGGTTGGAAATTTTCTTTTAGCTTTGGAGCTAAGGAAAAAAAGAGTATAACCTATAACATGAAGGCTAGGGGTTAAGAAATTTCTATGGTTTTGGGGACCATAGGATAGAGAGAAGATTTGTAATTTCCATGGCTTTTGGGACCTAGGGGTTAAGAAATTTCTTTGTGTATCAAAGGATGAAGGTTCATTTGCTTAGCCCATGTGCTAAGAAAATTAAAGGAGCTAGGAGTGGAAGCCTAAGGCTGGGAGAATCAACTATTGATTTTAGCTCAACAGGTGGATCAATGGAATTAGGTTTTGGTCCTAAGAGTCCCTAATGCACTCTTTAGAGGTCATTTGGGAACCTATATGCAAGCTCAAAGAAGAACCAAGCAATGGATCAAAGGATAAACTGAATTAAGTTGAGTTTGGTTCAACTTAACTCAAAACAATCCTAGGATTTATCTAAGGCTGATGGTAGCTCCTAAGGAATTCTATAGTTCATGCAATGAGATATTTTATTGAAGCTTTGGGAGGCTCCAAACATCATACATGAGGGAGAACTCTTAAAAGAAAGTTCCTATTTTTTAAAAATGTTTTAGAGTCATTAAAATATGATTGATCAAGCCTACAGATTTGGTAAAGTAGTGAATCAATTTTATCATTATTCAAGGGTTTAGGTGCACATTGAATGAGTTCCAATTTTTTTTCATGAACATAGAATGTTTTTAGGGCAAAGGATTGTTGTCATTTAATGCTCAAACTCTTGCCAAGTGTCGAATGTGATTCCCATTATGAGGACTTGCAACATATGCATTTGAGGGCCAATGAGAAGTCTCATAATAATTTAAACAGTCACAAAGAATTCATGAAAATTCTCAGATATCCATGTGTGTAAGCATTTAATGCTATGTGCAATCTCCTAGATTTGTAGGTCAATTTTTTCATGACGTGATTGAGCAAGGTACGCATGCAAGTAGTGGTGATTGAAAGCCCATGCGTCATGTTTCAATTTGGGATCAAATGACGTCTTACCCTAAGGTGTGATCGTAGGTGATGGATTGGGATGCAATATGAATGCAAGTTTCAAGCATTTGGGGGTTGTTGGATACAAATCTGATGATCCGGCATGCATCACCACCCTCTTTAGGCTCTCACATGATAGTAACTCACAGAAAATCACCAGATTTCCATGAGTTTACAATGAAGACAGCGGATATAAGGGATATATAACTCAAGAGGGGTTTAGTACACCTCATAGAACTCTCTATATAAATTTTTTTTAAGGGCATATAGAGGTGACTAAGCCACTTAATTGATTGATAAATCCAAAATATACAAATCCAAATTATTTTTTGAAAAAGATTGGTTTAGGCCTTGAATTTAGATTTATTGGATTCTCCTCATTCCATTGATTCCATAGAGTGCTTAATCATCAATTTTGATTAAGCAGTTAAGGAGAAATGAATTTTCAAAATTCCATTTAATGGATTATTTAAATCCTAAATAATTTTTTATTCATCTGTGTATTGACATGACAAGTGCTTTCCATGTAGCGGCGCTTGGATAAATGGCATTTCAAGCAATGGGTCCTGCGGTCCATGCATGATTGATCATTCTCAATCTTGTCGTCTCCTACCTCCAACAAAAAGACAACCAGTTGATCAAAATCCATTTGATCGAGAGTGATCAACTTTGATCCTCATGATTTATAGGATTGAGAATGATCAGAAGGGTAGATGGATACCATCTAAAGGTCAGATTCGTGTGGTATTGTAGTCAATTTCACAATGTGTGAAATCAATTATGGGTGCGAGAGGTGAATTACACCATCCAAAAGGGCTCAGGTCATGCTGAGTACTATTAGAGTTTCGTCCGATCATAATGAACAAGTTCATTGAACTTAACTTCATTTGAGGCTAACTGAATCAACGTGGGTGATTTCACTATGAAGACCTCGACAAAGCTTAAATGTTATTGAGGTTAGAACTGAAATTGGGCTGGGAATTGATTGGGGGTGAAAGATAGAGCTTTGGGGATAAAGAGGAGATCAAATTGCTATTCCCATTGGAGGATCTACTATTTCCACTTAGTGAAAGCTACAAAAATTGGAGGCTGAGGCCATTTGGGATGATCCAATAGGGTGTTATTAGGTGTCCCAAATCGTTTCAGGGCATTGGGATAGTTTCCCATTCACAACCATGCCCCATATCCAAAATAATTTACAAATGATCCCTTAATCTAGATTACAATGATGACCTTCATTGAGAGTATTTTTGTGCATAAACCTGAGATGTAAGTAATCATAAGAGTGTGTCAATGGAAAATCTTGATCACACAAAGTCTATATATACACTATATAATACAAATTATTGTCTAGGAAAAATTTCTATGGAAAATAAAATAGATTGCAATCCAAAAATCTATCTTGCTTTACATGCTTCCTGAAACTCCAAAAGATAAATAACACAAAGGATCGCACCAATGGAGTGTGAGTGCTTTTGAAGCCCAAGAAGCAATGGTTGACATGAAAGACAAGTCACTTTATTCAATTTACTTGAATTTCAAAATCAACAAATCTACATCTATGTGTAGTAGCAAGTGAATTTCTATTAGCTTTTAGTAGTTTATCTAGTTTATCATAACAATAGTAAACATTTAGATTAATTTTCATTTTATTAAGGAAAACAATATTGAGTTAGATGAAAGCTATTTAAAAATATTCATTCTTTAGAGCAAAATGTGAACAATGTAAAGACTAAAGGATTTAAATTTTCATTTAATAACAAAAGAGAATCAACTATAAACACTCAGTTTGCCATCAATAAAATAATTCAACAAAGCCATGCTCCCACTAAAAGACATACTAGAAATCAAGAGTTTGTATATTATATCAGAAAAAAAATAGATAATTCCATTATATTTCAACAGATTATATTCATCAGAGAGAAAATATGGATCTAATAAGATTTTGACATGGTATTTGTATTGATAGTGAGATAGATAATGCTCATTTTGAAGTTCTTGTGACTACTATTAGATCAAGTGCTAAGCCAAGTGTAAAGCGCTAGCAATTAAGTGGTTGTATTGGCATAGATAAGTCAACCTATTTGAAATTGAGTTGGACTTCTGATAAACAAAGCAAATGCTACGTGAGATAGTAAAAGTGCATTTGCTTTAGCAATTTAAGTTTGTTTTCTATGAGAGGACCAAACATATTGAGATCAACTTTCATTTTATGTCAGAAAAGGTCTGAGGTAGAAGAACTAGGTATTCATGCATGCATGTTCATCGTAACTTCTAAAGGATAAAATGCTAATGTAAAGACAAATGGATGCATACTTAATTATGGACAGTATACATACATGATTGTTCTAAAAAGTAAAATGGAGACAACTAATGTTATAAAAGAAATATTGATAAAATGGAGACCACACTACATTATGCAGGTCAAATATAAAACAAGAACACCTAAAAGGATGACTACTCTATCAACAAGCTGGGCAACCACATTTTGTTAATTTAGCAATTTATGAATATCACAAGTTCTTGAATTTTTGTTTTGTGGAAAATATTACGATTTCCATCAAAAAACCTCTATAATTACTTCTTTCCAGAAATACTACATTTGTTTAGAAGGAGAGTGAAGAAAAAAAGGTCGTGGAAGGAGGGGTTGTTGTTGACCATAATTTGAAACTCATCCAAATAAATTTAGAAAATTATAGGGGGAGGACAGGGGCATCGGAATGAGATAGAGAAAGCCTTTACGATCATATAAATAGCATAAATGACATAAATATCATTAAAACATACAATATGGACTGAAGCATTGAAGTATTTTGATTAAATTCTATCAAGGGGCTTCAAAAAATATCAAACGCTCAAAATACAATGATCAAAATCATGGATTTGTGAAAAAAGAGGAACAAAATTGCTTTGAGCTAAATAGGAGGGACTATATTGTTTGGGCTAAAAATTTTACTTCAAAAACGATATATCGGCCTATTCTAAGAAAAAAAATAGTAGCCAATCATGTTTTGGAAAATTCAACGGTAAAATCAAAATGACAAAATGCAAATATCAATATTTATGCAACTCGGCTGGGGTGAATAAACCTTAGCTATACCAAATTACAAGAAAATTTTCAAAAACATACATTAGTCCTCAAAAAAGAAAATGAGGGCCACAGCTCCATTAAATCACATCATACATATGACGAAGAGTGCACAAACAAATTCACATAAAATCAAACAATATAACATGCAAAAGAGGTAAAACAACGTGATATTTAACATTTAACATCCTGTTGGTACACGTACCTCCCAAAACCGACCTGGCACTTCTTTGAGCAGACACTTGAGTAAAACCTGGTTGGATGCTGATACAGAATCGCCCATCGTTTCACAAAGTTTAATCGTTGCCTTAGCAGACTGAAGTATCATAATTAAGTGTTGTAAGTTACGATAATAAAGAGGATATTACACACAAGATCCAAAGCCATGGTGCACATGTTATGCAAACCTACGAACTGATACAATTCATAAATCCGCACCTTCCTTTTACTTGCCCAAGATGATGAAGATATGCAACTGCAAATTAAGGAAACAATTTCTTGCAAATATAATTGAAGAGTAGCACGATCGCTGGTTGAATTATCCTCCCATAGCTCCTCATATAAGGTACTAATATCTTTATCATCTTCAAACCTGAAAATGGAAAATTCATACATTATTATGCACAGTTTTTGTAGAATATACCTTATGTTCAATACAGGTTATTAACTTTTAAGGTACATAGCCGCCAAATAATTAACCGAACACATAATACAAAGCTTATTATAGATAGAACTGAATACAACAACAACGAGTTTTTATCCCACTATGTGGGTCGGCTACATGAATTCTTTTTCTCCATTGTGTCCTGTTAAGGGTCATATTCTTATCTAAATCTAATAAAAAAATGTCATTTCTAATATTTTCTAATCAAGTCTTTTTAGGTCTACCTCTACCTTTCTTAATATAAGTCGAATCTAATACCTCTATTTTCATAACTGGTCATCACAAGGCCGCCTTTTTATGTGACCAAACCATCTAAATCGACTCTCTCTAATCTTATCTTCCACTGGAGCTACTCCAACCTTTTCACGTATATGCTCATTTCGTCTCGTATCTTTAAAAGTAAAGCCACTCATCCACTTGAGCATCCTCATCATTGCAACACTTAACTTTATATTATGTTTCTCTTTTAATGGCCAACATTTTGCACCATAAAGCATTGCAGGTCGCACTACCATCTTATAGAATTTTTTCGTAAGTTTGAGAGAGACTTTTCTATCACATAACATGCCCGATGCATTCCTCCACTTCAACCATCTAACTTGAATTCTACTAGTAATATCTCCATCTATTTTACCATCACTCTGAACAATAGACCAAATATATCTCAAACGTGTGCTCTTATTAATGACTTGAACTCCCAAAGTCACAATGCCCCCGCTAGATCTATTATTACTAAAATTACACTCTTATATATTCAGTTTTAGATCTACTCAAATGAAAGCCTTTAAACTCGAAAGTTGACCTCATAAATTCAAGTTTACCATCAACTCCCTCTCTAGTCTTATCAACAAGAAGAATATCATCAGCAAAAAGCATACAACATGGTACAACCTCTTGCAAATGTCTAGTCAGAACATCCATGACTAAAGCAAAAAGACATGGGCTTAAGGATGAGACTTGATGTAATCCAATAGAAATAGGAAAATACTTGGTCAAACCACCTAGTGTTTGAACAGAAGTAATAGCTCCTGCATACATATTCTTAATGACTTGAATATAAGCATTATAAACCCCTTTCTTTTCTACAACTCTCCATAGCACTTCTCTTGGAACTTTATCATATGCTTTCTCTAAATAAATAAAAATCATATGTAGGCTCTCCTTATTCTCTCTGTACTTCTCCATCAAACCTCTCAATAAATGTATAGCTTCCATAGTAGACCTACCTGACATGAATCCAAATTGATTATGAGAAACATTAGTATCACGCTGCAACCTATGATCCATAACTCTCTCCCATAGTTTTAAAGTATGACACATCAACATAATTCCTCTATAATTCATACAATCTTGTGCATTACCTTTATTCTTAAAAATAGGAATCAACTCACTCATTCTTCACTCATTTGTCATCTTTTTAGTCTTCAAAATAATATTAAAAAGTTTAGTAAGCTAAGATTCATTCTATCTCCTATGCATTTCCAAATCTCTATTGGAATATTATTAGGTCCAGTAGTTTTTCCGCACTTCATTTTCTTTAAAGCCTCTTTAACTTCGATTTTACTAATACGCTGATAAAAACAAAAATCTTTATTTTCATTTAGGGTACTAAGGTCACTAAAGTCAATTCCATTCTCATAATTTTCACTAAAAGGTTTAGCAAAATATCCCATCCACGTTTGTTGAATATCCTTTTTTAATAAAAGCACGTTTTGATCTCCATCCTTAATACACTTCACTTGAACTATCCTTACTGCTCTTATCTCTTTATTTAGCTAACTTATACATATATCATTCGCCCTCAGTATCTAATCTATTATATAAATCATTAAAAGCTAAAATCTTTATATTACAAATTGATTTCTTAGACTCCTTACGAGCCTCTTTATATCTTTCCGAATTATCAAAGTTTTTACAGCTAACTAATTTTTATAAGAAATCTTCTTATTTTTTATCTTTTCTTGCACATTTTGATTCCACCACCAAGTATTTTTACTATTAATAGCTTTTCTCTTTGATACTTCAAGCGGATCTTTTGCAATATTCTTAATAACATTGACAATTCTTTCCTACATAACATTAGCTTCTGCATGCATAGATAAAATCTTAAAATCTAGAATCTTACTCTCAAAAATATTTTTGTTAATATATTTTAAATGACCCCATCTAATCCTTAAATAACGATTTACTTTATTTTTAATATTTTGTCCATTCATCTTAAAGTCCAAAACTAATAAGCGATGTTAGATGCATAAACTTTCACTCAAAATAACTTTACAATTTTTGCAATCTAAACGATCTATTTTTCTTATAAGAAAATAATCAATCTGTGTTTTATTATATCTATTCTTATAAGTGATTAAATGTTTATCTCTTTTCTTAAATAAGGTATTAGTAATTATAAAATCATAAGCAAAATAAAATTCTAGCATGTTCTTATCACCTTCATTAGTCGCTTCAAAATCATAGCCACCATAAATGCTTTTAAAATCATCTACCTCTATATCAACATATTCATTTAAATCTCCTGCACTAAAAACTCTTTCTTAGAGAGGTATCATGATGAGGACATCCGACCTTAGAGAGTTTATCAGAGGTGGGGCCGACGATCTACGGCCACAATCGCACCGATTTATTTTTGAGTTATTATATGTATTTGATTTGGTTATGCATTTTTTTCGTTTCTACCCTCACTTGGAGATTAGTTGTTTGTGACCCTAAGGGGCATTTGTCTTTTATTTCTTCATTATAAACTTTAGCTATTTATATCCCCTTCTCTTTGGAGAGGGTAATGATGATTATTATGATATTTTCTACACTTGTATTCTATGTGAGTTGTGAGAGTTCTTGAGAGAGCTTGCTTGAAGTCCCTAGGTAAGGGCGCCGTAGTGCCCACCAACCACAGGAAGCATTCAGATTCGTGATCCTCCTCTTTCCGTCAATCCCTCCCCTCTTCCCTCTTTAAACCGTCAGTCATCCCTCCCTTTCTTCCTCTCTCGGCCGAACCCCACAACCCCCGAAAAATCTGGCCGACCACCCCTCTTTCACTACCAAGCCGCCAGCCACAAAGGCCTAGCCCCTCCCGATAGCCGCCGGCCACACATCAAATCATAATCCTAACCCTAGTCCAAGCCCTACTCACCGGCCACTATTCTTTCCCCTTTCCCTCAAAGTTTCAAACCAAACAATTATGACTTTCGTTATTCGCAACATCTTAAATTAGGAAGGTATTTCAAAACTCAAATTTCAAATTAATTTGTATTGATATTGCTTTCCTAGTTTTAAATGAGAATTTGACTTTTAATACGACACAATGAAGAAAAAGGATTCATGTAGCCGACCCCACGTAGTGGGATAAAGGCTTGATGTTGTTGTTGTTGTTGTTGTATTGCTTTCCTAAAATAAGCTTACAAATTATTAGGAAAGTTTTAATTCAGATTTCCAATCAATTAAATCTGAATTTAAAAGGGAATTTGATTTAACTTGTCTTTCCTAACTTAGGTTTCTTAAATTGGCAACCAATTAAAGCTCCCAATCCCTTCCTCCTCTTAATAGCCGCCGGCCCCTCTCTCCTTTATTTCTTTGTTTGGGAATTTGAATTTCAAATTCTCCCAATTACTTCTCCTAATTAAATCTGAAAGTAAAATTCAGATTTTGGAACCATCTCCCTTCCTTAAAATAAAATCCCAAATCGGGAAATAGAAGCCCTTTCCCCCTTCCACATGGCCGACCCCTTCCCCTCCTCCCTCCACCTCCATTACCCCTCCTAATCCCTCTTCCTAGTTGCTGCTATTAACATCTCCCCAAGGTGTCCCATTGTTGTCCAAGAAATTTTAGCAAAACCCTTTGCTGTCTAGCCCTGCGGAAAGACGTCGGTTGTTGTCTAGGAGCGCTAGTACATCAAAATCGATTGTTCCCACATATATGGCGGATCCAAAACTTGATCACAAATTTGTCTACGATTGATCAAACCGTAGAAGAATACGTTGAGAGGATCGTCTTCACCCTCGCTGACGCTATCGACGAACAACACTATTCCGTTCAGTGGCAGAACGTTTCCAAATCTTTATCAAGGTGAATTTCTCCTCCAAATCTTTTTCCTTTATAAGTCTTACCTTAATTTGTGGCATCATAAAGGGTTGTGCAACATATCATTGTTTAGCCTACATCAAGAGTGTGAGTGAGTAGACTCTAATAGTGCCTAATCTTATTGTTAACTAGGGATTTTTATTGAAACTCTCCCATGCTATGCTAATCTTGATTAAAATTGATTATTCATGAATCTAAACTCTTATATGTAGTTTTGCCTAAGCTTTAATCATCTTTCTAATGCTCTAACCTTTGCATAAATCACTAGAAGTAAACATTATTGCTTTAACTCAGAAGGCGTGTATTTTCAACATTACATATTTAATCAAGCATATTGTTCTACATCATATCATTTCTATTAATTCTTCTAGGTCATTCCAAAATTTGAATTTTGAGCACATATCCAAACCTACTTAAGGAGTATAAGCGCTTATAATATTAATAACCTTAGCATTAAGAATAATATTTAAAGCTATAATTCTATCTTCAAGTCTATTACTTCTAACAACCATAATCACACCTATATCATTTCTAACACGACTCCTACCAGAATATCATAGTTTAAATCATAAACTATGAATTCAAGGGTTATTGTGTCTGCCCCTACAAACCCCACAAATATGGGGTTGACCTTTGCTTTTGTCATGCTCAAGTTTCACAATTGCACACACCTCGTTTAGCTTTGAGTTTCCTGGTGCAATCATTGTGGCACCTACACTCATGATTTGAACTTGCACTTCCTGATTATGACTTCTTCCTAATCGGTCACATCATCCCTCTTGCATGCGTCTGGGGTAGAATCGAGCGGAACCGAGCAAAAGCCTCCTCTCGCATACGTGCGACTGCATGGGACGAGAAATCATGTGTATGGACAGCGACCAGGACCTCCTGCGAATGATGACATCGTATTCGATGCTAGTAATTTGACCGAAAAAGATAAACTTTCATGCTATAAAGCGAAACTGAAGGAAAAAATACATAAATTTGATATGCAATTATCTAATTTCTACAAATAATGTTAATGAGACTATTTAGGGCGATGAATACTGCCATAATCGTTACATCTTAGGCTAAGAAAGAACATGCCTTCAGAATTGCCCTTCTATTTAATCCTAAGAATAAACACGGATAAGGGGCTGCAATTTGAACACCTCAAGCAAGAACATGGAAGGGAAAACCAATTATTTATTAAAACTTCCTTTAAATGGAACCACTAGAACCATCATTACTGCCAAAATAATGATTCGTTAATACTTCTTTCGGCTTGAAAACTGTGTAATAGCTCCTAAAAGCCGCATGGAGGCGTTTAAGGTAAACTTCAGTTTTAATTACCTCACGTATTATATGCTCATTTTTCATATGATTTATAGACTTCCGAAAAAAAAGGTGGGTGTCTTGAACTTTACAAGCTCATTCGTCGTAGTTATAGTTTGCAGGCATTTGAAATCCAATCAATTTTGGTTATCTATTTCCTGAAGAGCAATTTCAGTTTGAATTAAATGAAGCATCTTCTACTTTCTCTCCATTCCTTTCATCCTCTTTCCTCCCTTCTTAGTCTTCTTCATCTTCCCGGGTCTACATCACGTAACTATAGCCTTGCATCAGAGAAACATTAAACAATTCCTATAATAAAAAAAAAACATTGAACACATGCCCCTATATTGGAACTGGCAAATCACTAAATGAAAATGTAAGCTAAAAAAATCAATAAAATCACTTAGTCAATCGAACTGGAAAGTTTAGAACTAAGCATAGTTTGCACCCTGCCATTGCAAATCAAAACTTTGAGAGACATTTAAAATAAAATTTCTAAAGATGTCAGCATGTGAAAAAAGCATAGTACAACCAAGAATTCCTAAAACTAACCTTGACACAAAGACAACTGGAATTATAGTAGCGTGGTAGCCACTCAAAACATCTGCAGCAATATTAGCATAATTTTTAAGAAGAACTCCACAAGAAACCTGAGAATTTCTATCACCCAAATGGAGAGCTACAGTGTCTTCAATTAGTTTTTGCGCTAGAGAAGGGCTTCCATACTTCAGGGTGATGGCACAGGCAGCAGCAAAGGAACGCTTTGCTGCACCACGTTTTTCCTCCAGAGTAGCTCGAAACAATAATTTTGAAAGCATGCTAGTGAAAGGTTTTATGTCATCTTTTACTTTCTGTACTAGCAAAGTAATGAAGCTGGCAACTCCTACCCTGGAATTGAAATAAAAGCAAAAATTATTGGATCGTTATGGCAAATCCTTGTACTATAATAAAAGCGATGGTAAGAGATGCACTGATTATCATCAGTAACATTTAAAAACCATTGCAACATAATTGCTTCCCGTACCATTCATTTGTCTATAGAAAAATAATTTGTACTTTTAATACGAATTGAGATTTCGAGTACACCACATTTCAAAGAAATCAAGCACAAGGAAAGGTCCCGACAATAGAAAATAACTCATTGTCAACAAACTTTATGAAACCATGAAATGAAGAATGGACATGAAACAAATGTGAAGTCATGGCAAGTCATGAACAAACAATAGATGACAAGTATAGGACACGTGACTTTAAAGTATCTTATAAGTTGTGATTTTTTTCTTAATAAAAAGCTGGGAGTAACCCCACATTAAAATAGAAAAATAAAAATAAAAATAAAAAAAGAGATTACAAGTAATGAAAAGTACACAAAACACTGATAACATGCAAAAGAAAAATATAATTAATTAGATCTAAAAAAGGCTCAATATGATTATCAGAGAAGCTTTAATTCCACATAGGTTACCTTGAGCACCATGTTAGCAGAAAATAATGCAACTCTCATATCAACGGCAACAACAATAAAAAGATCTGTAAATGTTTAAAAGTATAATGCACGTGAGAGAATAAAAATTTGATCATCACTTACACATGATAATCATGATGTCAATGAAGCTGAAAACAATGTGTCCAACATGTGTTGCAAATGGCAGTGAAAGCTATTGGAAATGCCCGTACTTCATATTGTGAAATTCAAACTGTCAGCATTCTCCCTCCCTCACAAGTGGGCGTGCAAAGCCAACCACACAAGCTCCTTAAATGTAGATTGGTAGGAATTTCATGCACTAGATATACCATTATTTTTTTACATATATGTAAAGATAAATTACATTTAGGCTCCTAATTTTTTGGGGCTTTTTGTCAATGTTCATTATGCCCAATCAATTCTACAACATAGCTGCTCAGATCCTTATATTGTTGTTTCTATTCACTTGGATCCTCATCATTAAGTAGTGATTTGATGCATTATAACTGACTAATCAGGCAAAAGCAACTCGCAAAAGCCCACTTGATCATAAGTCAATTACAAGGATCAAACCAGGGCATGATATAGCTGCATTGGGCCCATTTTCAAACCTTTTTTAGGTCCATTTCAAGTTTGGAACAAATTTTTATATTATTCAATTGATTTTTTCTATTAGGTTTAATTATCCTCCTAAAAAAATAATAGTTTTAAATATAAATACTTTGTTATAATTAGATTTGAATTTAACTTTTATCCTTATCATTATAACACTTTCTATAAATAGACCTGTCAATATTTGATCCGACCCGAAAACCCGATCCGAACCCGACCTGGAATTTTCGGGTTTCGGTTGACCCGAATCCGAAGCGGGTCGGGTTCGGGTTCGAAAAATCGACCCGTTTGCAAAAACGGGTCGGGTTAGAACTCTAAAAATCAAATTTAAGCGGGTCGGGTCGGGTTGACCCGAACCCGAAGCGGGTCGGGTGCGGGTTCGGAAAATCGACCCGTTTGTGAAAACGGGTCGGGTTGACCCGAGCCCGAATAGTGCCGGGTCAATTTCGGGTTGACCCGAACCTGACCCGTGACCCGAAATTGACAGGTCTACTATAAATAATGATTGATGGTTTTTATTCTACATAGATTATAAGTGAATGAAATTATTTTATGAGGCCAGGCCAATTCAGAATTCTCTCGTTTGATCCAACTTGATATGGATAGCTCCAAGGTGCGTGCATGGACTTCTCCATTTGTAACAAAGATAACATACATTCTAGTTCCGTTAAAAACAAATCATAAATTCAAAGTTCATTGCTCTGCAATCAAACCCAATCCAGATCCCTCAATTAAAACCAAATCTCAATTTCCTCCTCTACACACTACATTTCACATCCCTTCTCCTCTAAAAAAATCAAAATCTTAGCCTCGTATCCTTTTGCAAAAACCCTGTTTTCGTGACCTATTAAGCACAAATCCTACTTTTTCCACACACTCATCGCTCGCTCTACTTCCTATGTACGCTAACTACTTGCATCCTCTCTCATTGCATAACAACTAGCTATTTTCGTTTTTGTTCCCTATCTTCATTGCACGTGCCCACACGCAACTCATGTTCACTCGCCTGACTCTTCTCCTCCTTCACCCATCTCCTGAACCCTCTTCGATTAATGACTTAAAAAATAAAATTTCCTTGCTAGAACTCCTTAGCAGCTTCTCTATGCGCCACCAACCCGATTAATGACTTAAAAAATAAAATTTCCTTGCTAGAACTCCTTAGCAGCTTCTCTATGCGCCACCAACCCAACTATGACCTACAACTCTCCTCTAAGTTCAAAGAGCTTCATTTCTTCCACCTTATCCCAATATGACCTTCAAAACATCCTCTAGTTTTCAGCCAACAGTCTCCCTTCAATTCTCTTGTTTCTCTCTAGCTCTTTTTCTCCCTCACTTTCTCACTCGAAACAAAAGAAACCACTATTTGTCTCTCTCAACCTCTCTTTCTCTTTCTATTGCTTCTATCAATATCTCTCTAGAAGCATACATAAATTTATGGTGATAATCCCATTAGCTTCTGAAATAGAAAAATTCATAGTGCATCACTTTCTTATATTGATGGATTCAATGAAAAAGATATCCCCACTTTAGCTAGAACATCACAAATGAGTAAGAAATATAATGAATTTTGCAAAAACAAAATCAATGACCACACAATAAAAGGAATGATAAGAAAATCCAGTTCTTCTTGGAATTGTATGACCTTCTATGCTATAAATACTTATGAGAAAGAACTAGAAAAACCTCGCTTTGCTATCAATTATAAGCATTAAACAAAGTTTTAAAAATGTATTAGAAATCAAAATCCCAATAAAAGAGATTATTGAATTTATTACGCGATGTTGTATTATTTTAAAAATTTGATTTAAAATCAACATATTGATAAATACAAATTAATGAACAAGATATATCAAGGCGGCCTTTAGTATTCCTTTTGGAAATTTTAAATGGAATGTTATGCCATTTAGCGTAAAAAAACCCATTTTGAATTCCAAAAATATATAATTGAAATTTGTAATCCTTACAATACATCTTAATATATATTGATAATATGCTCTTTTTTCCAAAATCTATTTAAGAGCCTTTTATTTAAATAGTTAGCTCATAAGAATGGACTAAATATTTTTGTAACTAAAATAAACTTTTTTCAAACCAAAATTAGTTTTTTAGAAGCTCTTAATTACATTTTCGACTTCTACAAAAACATAGGAATTTGATTAGGAGTGTCAAAATGGGGTTTTCCGTCAAGTTCGGGTTTAACCCAAAAATGACTTGTCGTCATTTGACCCGACCCGATTAGAAAAATAGGTCACAGACTCAAACAAGAACCTAACATGGTTCAAACCTAGATTGACCTACCCGTCCTGCCAACACGTTTAAAAAAATTGCTAATTCAGTAATCCTGCTTTTTGAGCTATTCTCCTTCTTTCATTTCGCATGCTTCTTGTTCGACCAAATCTCGTAAATATGTCCCGTCTGTCCCACTTTCGGGCTTCCGCTTTCACGTGCTAAGGTTTAGACCAGAACAGACAAATGGAAATGGCAAACTGCGATCGAAAAGAAATTCCATTCTTACCTCCCGTCTAAGCACGCTTCTTCGGCAAAATCCATAAATCCTTTGGATCCGGGTCAAAACCTAGTTAATTTCTGATTAGTTGGTTAACACAAACCCGACCCATTTATTAAGCATGCCATATTTGTAGATCCAAACCCGACCATTTGTGATGGGGATATCAAAGCTTGGAGGGTTTATCTCCATAGAGGCCGGAGATCTACGACCTTAATTTAGTCTTTATATATTTAGTTTTCATGTGTTGTAGGAGATTTATGTGGTGTTATTTACTTTATTACAATTTTACCCTCACGTGAGGGAGCTTTTGTGTTATTTGGCCAAGGGCCTTCTTGTCTTTTGTTCGTTTCATATTTTTGGTGCCTATATATATGACCCATTGTTCTCTTGTATGGTAGTGAATATTTTGATATAAATTTCTGGTTATATGCTTTCTCTTCTCTTGGTGAGTTGAGTTTGTGTGTGAAGTCCTTTGAAGAAAGGAAAAGAACTATCCAACAGCGTATGAGCTATTGGTTGGTATCATTTTCCCTCTCTATTTTTTTTCCTCCTTCCCTAGCTACCCAAACAACCACCCCCACCCCACAGTTGCAGCAACTTACTGCCATCAACCAGCAACCACCTCCCTCCCTTCCACTCCATCTACCTCTACCTTCTCACCAACACCCTTGACCCTTGGGCTTCCCAAATTCTGTAATTAATTCACATTAATTGAGCATTTATCTCAATTAAATCATGACCTTTGGAGATCTACATCCACTTTAACTTTTTTCTTTCCCAAGCAAGCCACATCATCCCTCTCGCTTCCCCAAGCAATCAGCCCCACCTCTTCACCTCCCAAGCTGAATTTTTCCTTCCCTAAGCCAACTAATTCCCTTCCCAAAGTAAGTCATCAGCCGCTGCCAAGATTGTTACCAATCCTGCACATCAACCATCTCTCTTCCCCAAGAAACTAGCCCCATCTCTTTACCTCCCAAGCTGACTTTTTTCTTTCCCAAGCAAACCACATCATCTTTTTCTCTTCCCCAAGCAGCCAACCCCCACCTCTTCACTTTCCAAGTTGACTTCTCTCTTTCCAACAACAAAAACAACAACAACAACAAGTCTTTATCCCACTACGTGGGGTCGGCTACATGAATCCTTTTTCTCCATTGTGTCCTATTAAAAGTCAAATTCTCGTTTAAATCTAATAAAGAAAGGTCATTCCTAATATTTTCTAACCAAGTCTTTTTAGGC